CCTGGTTGTTTGCAGAGTCAATAAACACCATCATCAGAGTTTGACTCTCATCCAACCTGCAGACTGTCGTAAACAAAACCTTCCGGGAAAGAGACAGACCCGAGTTTCACTATAAACATAAAGGAGAAAAAAAGGATATTTCAGATAACATCGGACAGACTAACGATGACTAATGATGCAAATACAACATAAAGCATTACAACATCTGACTCTACGCTGGTTTCAGTAGGCCCATATTAAAAACACTCCTGTTCCTGCAGGCAAGTCATGAGTCTGAAGGATTAACTGATTCAAATATTGTCAGTGTTCGTTTTATTTAATCATTCTTCTGTGAAGATGTTAAATCTCAAAGATGCATGCACCATGCTAACTTGGACCATGTCGAAAGTTCGATCATATTTGTAATTTTTGTGTAAGCCTGCTAACAGAGAAGCAAGGGGGAGGTACAAAAGTAGATTAACATCAAGACAAACTTTGCAATAATCTTTTATAATAATCTAACAAATGCAAAAGAAAGTCAGATGGACAGATCATGCATAAACTTTCGATAATTTCGGTAAGCATTGTCACAGCTTTCCAGCTACACAGACAACTGCAAACAAACAGATACTGGCTCTCAGTTGTCTGTCCATGTGGGGTGTATGCAAAGGCTGTTTGACACATATTTACTGCCGTATACCAATAAATTGCAGCCATCTACAGTTACTGGCTAACCGACACCACGCAACCCAAAGAGATGCCATTGTAAATACCATAATAAAATGACTGTTTTTTTACTGCTTGACTTGAATGTAGCCTCAGAAGATTCCCGACAGTGAGACATGCAAAGTTTGTATCTGTGAGGTTTGATAGTAAATACAAGCCAGAGAAAGTTTGCCTTTTAGATTCACTTTATCTCGTCATATAATTTAACAAGAGCAGCTGCCATTCCAATCCATTACTTTAAATCTGATATTGTTTTCCCATCACCTATCTTACAGTGATTTAAATCTGATATTTCTTAAGAAAATACCAGACTTTTCAGAAATATTGTAACTTTACATCCCGAGAGAAATAAAAGACACAGACTGTTCTTCAGATTTTCAAGACTGAAACTGCAGGCCTCGTGAGTCTTGGATTAGACAGCAGTGACAATAGCAAAACCCAGCTATCCTCTCAGCGTCCTCCCCTGATGCAAGCCTGAGATGTCAGAGACAATGGTAGATGGACCTCTGGAGACATGTCTTGACTCATGGGCTGCATTTAACTTTTATTACCCTGAGAGATAGATTGGCTCCCCACCCCTCTTTGGTGGTGTGGAGTGTGTATACGAGGGGCCGTTGTTGTAAAGTGAAGGCAGCGTGGCTCAGTCAGAGTGGAGCCAGGTAACTGAGGAACTCTTCTGATGTTTTTCCAGAGCTGCTGTCCGACAATTTGTGATGTGTGGCCTTTTTTTCTGTTGTTTTTCTTTGTTTCCTTATAACACTGTACAGCCTTCTGTCCTGGCGGCTTTTAGGTTTGAAAAAAGAAATCTTTGGGACGGCAAAAGGAACACTGCATGAGGTGGTTATTTAAGGCTCATTGTGAAGCAACTCTACTCTGTTTAAAACATTTAGCTTATGTTTTTTCCGTAACTGACTGGGCCATTTCGAGAGCTGTTTAAATACAATGGCCGCTACCCACCTGCCAGATGTGCTTTATGTCTTCCACCGTCTCCTCCAGTATGTCATCTTTTATTTGCAAGAAAATAAGTCTGCCACTTTTTAAAATGTATTTTAATATTGTTTATTTTTTCCTTTTTTTACAATATTTAAAACCATAGAAACTATTTTGAGTTGGATACATAGAAAAACCAAGACTTGCCTCAGCATTGGGGCCACTTAAATATGCACATTTTTAATAAGCACACAAATATTGGAGTGTTATTCATGGTTATAATCAAACACACTCATAGAAGAAAAAAAATACGCAATATAGCATAGTAAAATGCTGCATTCGTGTGCTCTGAGGCTTCTGTGTAAGGCTCTCTACAATGTAGGAGTCAGTTATTGTAACATGGTCCAGTGAGCAAAGACTGTTCTTTGAAGGAAGTCGTGGTTTTCCCCAGAGATGTCCCTCAGCTGCGGGTGCGCCCCGCAAAGTACTACACCTGACACGTGCCCCCCGTCAAATGACAGGAACTATTCTCTGAGGATGACAAGTTTATTTTCCAGCCAGGTTTTTCCAAACTTTTGTTATTCATATGCCTAACTCTTTCCTGTCCCTAACATTACAGTCTTCAGGGGGAAAAAACAGTGTTTTTACTCTCACTTCACAGTAAAAGCTGGAAGGTTCTTCCACATTACACTGTACTGTAATCAGAGGCTCAAAGCCTCGAGGTACACATGGATCAATGAAAGATGTGTACAGTTTAGCAGGATCGATGATGTTGCTGATGCTCAAGGTGTGGACTTTTCATCAACCCTTTTACTGGCATCAACTAAAATGGGAAGCAATCAGGAGGTGATAATTGAAACGTCGGCACTTGTTGACACACCCCAGGAGATGGCACAGTGGACTCGCGTCAAAACAATGAGCCAAACAAATGTGGCGAAAATAGGACTTTGTGTTCAGAACACACAGAGAAAAAGCCCCCGTGGAAGCCTGTCGGCAGGCCACGGACGGGCAGCAAAGGGTTAACATGTGGAGCCCTCCGACTGGGAGGCAGAAGTAAACAAAAAGAGCTGATGCCTCTGTTGCCTGCAGTCCAGGCGTGACCCTTGAGATAGGCGCTGGGCTATCATGAGGGCGTCTCCCAGAGAGACTGGCCAGGAGAACAGAGAGGTCTTTGTCAGGGCTGTGTGCGAAAAAACTGCTGAGCCAAGCAGATCCTCAACCCCCCACCTCACGCAGCCCTGCACACAGCCACCCCTCCCCTCCAGACTTTTTTTTCTCCCTCTCCCAGAAGACACACACATATACACACTCTGTATTTACCAGCAGTCACAGGGGACAGGGCTTTCACTGCAGCTGGCGGGAGGCTACAGAGGGGAACACAGGGACTGTTTTGTGCCTAAGAACCTAAAACTATGTCAACATGTCTGGGGATCACTCTTGGCCAGAGTTTTAAACTTTGGACCAACCCGTAGATCTTTTTGGCAGGTTGTAGTGAGGCTATCTTCAATAGTCATGTCATTCTGTCTGCAAAAAATATTCAGCAATTCATTTCCAACCAAAGAGTTTTAGAAGTGGAGTTTGAGCTCAGCTTTCTGCTTAGAAATATCAGTGAAAGAGCACATAGAGAGCAAACGGGCATGGAGATGATGTCGCCATACGTCTCTGCTCTACCAGGCACCTCGTGCACGTGTGCAAACTCTCCCCTCGCTCACTCTGTCTACACAAAGCAGCTTCCTGCTTGGGGGAGATTCCTCAAGAGGCTTACTCAGTGAAAGAAAAGTGAATCACGATTTATTTAAGGTGCACCTTCTCCCTCGGGGTGGAAAACGTGTAAAAAAAAAAAGAAAAAAAAAAGAGAAAAGTGCTGAGCTGCAACTCTGCCTCAAGGTCTCATGAAAGGTTTTTCCCACTTTATACATATTTTACAGAAATTCGGTGTGAAATCAATATCTACTTAACACAAAGAAGGTTTTTCTTCAGAGAGGATTTTTTAGGATTGCTGGTAATTGTGGAAAACTTTGGTTTGTGAGGGGTTGTGTGCATGACTGTTTACACAGTGCTATGGAAATGCTTGGAAACATTCCAAAGAACCTTCATTTGTTTAATCTCTTGATATACATTCATGGGGTCGCTCTACCAAATGAGTATCACAAATGAGTATCGATGTGGGATACTTGTGGTCTGTGAGCCCTGGTGCAGCCCTGCATTAAAAACAGGCCTAATCCGGTCATAGAAACCTCCCCCTGAGCACAGGAGGGCCTCCCGTTGGTAAACACAGTTTACCATATACCTTGTTATCATCGCTCGGTTCCAAATTGTTTCGCTCCGGTGTCATGAGGGTGCATTAGTTCCAGTGAAACGGCTCCACCCATTTGTGTTAGTGACAACTGACTTGCATTGCGTATGAATCAGAACAAGTCCTTTTGTGCTCTTCCTACAAGACATCCTCCAGACTTAGCTACTGAAATGAAAGAAATTAAATATATCCTTCTATAATGATGACTGACACTTATCATCAGAGCCAGATAGGCTCAGACTCTATGTGTGTCTATGGGTCCGTGTTTTGTTTTTGTCTACTCTAGTCTGACCAACTTCTCTTTTGAACCTGACTCACAGTAGTCCATAAAAACACATGCAGCTGCTTATGCGGGCCACATCATCCAAATATTAAATCTACCGGCTGTTAGGGTTCACACTGCACCCTCACCCTCACTGTACCCCTTTCTGACTCCTAGCAGTTTCCATTATTACATAATGACTAAATTTCTTAACAAGGTCAATTGTTTTAATGAATTATCCTTTATCCGTTGTCAGCTTTTTCCCGGTTTGGCAAAAGAGACTTTCTGCCAGAAGTTACAATGACGCAGAGTTTACAAGGGGCTTGCATCTAGTAAACTGGATTGTTGTAATTTATTAGAGTCTTTGGAAACATTTGGGGACATAAAACTATGAAAACCTCAAACCACAGCAGCTAAATGATATCCAATTAAGTTTCTTTCTTCTCATGATCCTGCAGCCAGTCGAATAGATTTTTTGTACGTAATTGCCTGTACTATCCAGTTGTAACTAATCATTTTTAAATCTGTCAATCCGTCAAAGCCATTTCTGTTTTATCATAGAAAGAGAATATTTGAAGCTTCATTGCTCTAAAAAGTCATTTAGGACTAACAATAACATAAATAGGACACTACATGAAAAATACATGAATTTGAGCTGCATGTGAAGCTTAAAAGGAAGTCTGACAAACAGAAGAATTATGCACCTCAATCAGTCTGTGGATCAGATTAAAAACTGACTAAATATGTATTTGCTTTCAATTCTTTCATATTAGTCATAATAAGAGTAAAACGAAATCAAGCACAGAATATGTCAATTGTCCATAAAGTTTTATTGAAAAAAAAAGAACAAAACAGCAATGTACCCATTTAACAATAAAAGAAATTCAGAGAAATTGTAAGATTTTTTGAGCCAAGCTCTTATGTACAGCGTATTGCACTAGAAAAAGAACAAACATCCCCTGTCCTCCTCCAATCCCTCCATCGCTCCAGTGTCCTGCGTTTGAAATCTGTGCAGGAGAAACAGAGCAGTCCCAAAGATAACACAGCCAATGCTTTTTCAAAAAACTGCTACATCTGGGCTGGGTCTCACTTCATAGGACACATGAATGTGAAATCCTTGAGACCACTCTGAATGTAAAGAAAGCAAGGTGAAGACGATACAAAGTCTGTGTGCGCCGAGCACAGAAATCTCGAATAAGTTCATTTCACGTATTAAAAAGAGATATTGTGGTTATTCACTCCATTTAAGTTACATTCAAACCTTTAGGATACAGAGTTTTTTTCAAGGAATGTTGGACATGCATTTTTACTCCATTTACATATATTGAAAAAAGCCCTTTAACTGAGTGACACTGCAGACTTGTCAATATCCAAAATCAAGAATGCCATAACACTGAAAAAAGCAATAGAAAACCAGAATTCATGTTGTTGCATTTCTGTCTTATAAAAAAAACATTATGTAAAAACATTTAGACTTTTCTTCCCCAATAAAGATAGCAACAGGTGTGTCAAATTCATGTCTAATGTATAAAAAACACCAAATCACAGCACTTGACAGTAAGGATGCACTCTTTCTTGTTTTTTTCTTTTTTCTTGTCAAAACAAATCGAAAAATCAACTCAAAGACACTGAAGGCTGAAAATAAATGTTTGAATTGAGGTTGCGACAGTGGCTGGTAATGACAGGCTCAGATCAACACCAATCCCACTGAGTGGCTGTTCAACCCATCCCAAATACTAATAATACTGGGCACCAAGGTGGCTCATTCCTCCTCCAAGACAAACCTGCAGCCCTACTAGACTGTAGATAATAAAGCACAAAGGCCCAGACTCGCCGGGCCGATCCAGCATCTAATAGATCTGAAAAAGTTTCAAGAATCTAGAGGGGAAAGTTCCACTCAGGAGTAGAAAGAGAGGCGCAAATACAGTATAAAGTTAAAAATAGTTTGTTATACAGTGCACGCTTCAAACAGTCATGTCTGATGTTGAGAGGGTTTTGCATGGTGAAACTCGCCGTTCGTGCTGAGAGATGTCAAAGGTTGAGCCTGTGCCTCGTGAGCTGAGGTGAGAAACCAAACGGATTGTTTTTTTGTTTTTGTTTTGTCTGTTTGTCGTTCTCACAGAGCCGGAGTGAAACAAGAGCTGTGACCAGTGACTTTGGGTAATTATGCCGAGTGTTTGTTGATGGTGATGGTGCGGCAGGTCTGTTACTCACAAGGCACATCATGTACATTTGATTGTCTGTCTTTCATGTGATTTGTATAGACTCACACAGCGTTTGTGTGAGAAAGCACGAGGCACATGGCTTTAGTCCAACCTTACCACACACAGGATTCAAACACGCAGCCGAATGCACCTCAACGGGTCAAAAAGAAGGACTGTACAGACTGAGAGAGCATCTATACAGTAGCACTGGGCAAATATACACAAAATAAATAAGAATAAATTAGAAGAAATTTCAACAAAATGAAACCTGCTCTCATTAAAGACAGGGAGTAGTTAATTCTAATGAGGAGCTTTGAACCGCAGATGAGAAAGTGTGTCACGACTATCTGAATTGGCTCAGCGTTCAGTGTTTGCAGGAAACAAACTTTTGGTTTAGCTACTTTTGTGTTAAAAAAACAAAAAACAGAGAGAGAGACCTGAATATTTGTAACACACTTCCCTGCTGAAGTTGAGTGAAAATGCTTTGCTTGTTTACTGTTGCCAAGCAGTTTTAATAAAAACCCAGAAAACGGCAGAGGACGTGGATTTGAACCTGATGAATACACGTCCCGACACACAATTTAGCTTGTTAACTACTCCCTGAAGAAAACATAGAGAGGAAAAAAAGGCTAAACCCATCAGTGTCTTCAAAAGTTCATGTCAAAAAATTTACAGCCGAGTGAAATAACAAACCAAACGAGGAATCTTTAACATCGTATTTAAAGTCCGTCAAGACTTCACACTGAGAAGCTGTGGCTGTGTTGGTGTGAGACGCTGCCCAAAGTTGTAGAAACGTTCTCTGTGTCTGTGTGAACAAGTGTGAACTTTAAACTGTACAGAAGATTTCTTTACTAAGTAAAGCTAAAGGTCCCAGCGACAGTTTGAGACATCTGAGCCAAACCTGGCGTGCCGGCCCTGGCTAAGACGTCTCAAAGCGCCGGCGGTGGCTGGACGCGGCACATCAGGTTTGGGTCAGCGCTCCGGACATTTCCAGCTGCAGTGAAATAAAATAAAAATGCATCTCTGTGACGTGCTTCTTTGAAAATCTGCGGATGTCAGTCTGAGCTGACCCCCGTGAGTTTTGCATGCCCCACTGGCTTGAATATTGCTGGCCTTTTAAGTTGCTGGTAACTGTCATCTCTCGCGGGCGGCCCACAATGCAGCATAGGGCTCAATTACGATTGTCAATCCAGGCACGGGAATGCGCCCTGGAAGCCTCTGGAGAAGGATGACATCTCTCCAAAGCTTTTCAGTTGATTGTTTCCGGTTCCCTGATCATTATCCCACGGGTGAGATTTCTTCCACTGCGTTTGTGCTTATTTGGTTTCACAACCCATGCCGGATTTGGAGACGGTAAGCACGCACCCCAGCGTTGGCGTGACCACAAACTGAGACGGCTGCCTCGGATCTTTAAATCATCTGACTAAAATATCTTCAGTACACCTTGTTCAAGTATACGTGCTTCATATTAACAGTGCCTGAATCTTCACAGTGGGTCATAGGTCAGCTCTAACAACATAAGTGGTGCTGGAGACAGAGAGGCTGATGAATGACGCCAGTAAAAGACAAAGGTTGATAAAACATCCCCATGTCACAGCGGTAGCTGCTAGAATGTGCATCCATACAGATCAATAGTGCAACACCAGTGTGTTACAGCTTCTTCAATTAGCCAGTGTGGAACAGTGAGGGATGGGGACAGGGCTTATTGTGTTTGTTTGTTTTTTGAAGGATAAATCAGACATGTGCCAGGAGTCTTCGAGGTTTTAGGTCGCTAACTTTAGCACAGAAAAGTCCATATCCGCAGTCTGTCACCTAAAAAGCGGCCTGGCAATAAAACTTATCTCTCACTTATGTTTTTTTCTTTATGCAAAACAGCATTTACTGCGGCAGGAGAGAATAAGGCATTCCCTGGACTGATGGAGGTCCTGCAGGACTCGAAACACCAAATAAAAAGAGCAGTTTACTGTACAAAATAGGTAATCTTACAAATATTTAGAAAATATCTCTTCAAACACAATGGCTTCTTCTCGGTGAGGCAAAAAAAAAGAGAACCAAAGAGAGAAAGAAAAAAAAGATTTTCAGTCTCCGTCCAGCGGTGACCAGAGTCTTCTTCATCTCATCTTCATATTCAGTCAGAAAAAAAACTAAATTTGAACCCGTGTTCCATCTTACAGTGCCATCTCTCTAAGTCTGATCACTTGGTTCCGTTTAGAAAACAAGGGCAAGGTGTGGGGGGGTTGGGCACCGGGAAATCCCTTCACCTCTGCTCTCCTCTCAGACGGGGGATGAATGCCTCTCTTGGAAACAGAAAGCCAAAAAGGGCCATGGTAAGGCGTATCCACACAGGCAGGTTTTGTCTCTGGTGCCTCATGAACTGCAAAAGTCACAGAAGAAGAAACAGAACACAGATCAGCGGTGATAAAAGTTGACCATGACATCATAACCCCTATGCTTGTCAGATGCAAATATCATAACGCTTCAGATTTTTTTTCTTTTTTTAGGTAAAGCCAGTGAACTGTGGTAAACCCTGTGAGTTAAAACCAAATGACGAAGCAGAATAGTTGTTTCCACAACATCGCTTTGTGTCTAGAAAACACGTCTGTCACACGCACGCCCAAGCGCAGAGGTATTCGGAACTTAATTTTATTTTGTGTGATTATCGCACTCTGAACTGCAAAACGCAGTTTTTATCCAACAAAACCCGACAGTCATCTCATGAACAAATCTGAATTCCTAATGTTTGCTCAAGAACCCTTCAACACAACGCAAGCATCTCAAAGTGAAACAAACAAAAAAAAACCTTTAATACAATGTGTTGTGACTGCTTGAAAACAAAAGTCAACTGAATTATTGGCAAAGCGAATCATAACTGAAAGTGCCTGCTCCTATGTGGCTCTCATCTCCTCTCCTCTCCTCTCCTCTCCTCGCACTGTGCACCACAATCTGATGAAGGGGTTCCTGTTTCATCCCGGAGTCTCCTGCCTCCCCCTCCACTCCCTCCAGCCCTGATCCTGCACGGCCCCCACTGTGTGTCTGAAACAGCCACGCTCAGACATTGCAGGCTGTTGCATAAGCATACTTGTTACACTCTTTTCCCCTGCTCTCTTCATCAAGGTCTCTACCAGCCTAGCAATCAGAGTCTGCCACAGGCTATTTGATGCAGAAGTAGCAGGCTGAACTGAATTCAACCAGCACCACTAAATGCAGCCCTAATTGTCCCTAATTGCTTTAATTCTACACTGCTAAGCTTATTCAAACAGTACCCTTGTGTTTCACACGAAGCTCATCTCTCAGCACTGTGGTAGTGGAGAACTGTGTGTGTTTAGTTACACTTTTTAAGCTTATTATATTGAAAATGATTAAGAAAACTGACAATTTGTGTGTGTGTGTGTCCGTTCACTCAAAGCCATGCTGTGTTTGCTGGCCGGTAACCCATAATACAGTCTACTTCACACAGACAAAAATCCCACACATTAACCTGCGCTGGTGACCATGGCTCAAAGAAGCAAGTTCAAAAGTCTGTGAATAGCTGGAGAGACAATTTAGGCAAGTAACTGGAAAAAACAATCAAAACAAAGGGTCTGTCTCAATTATTACCCATTAGCAACAAACCTTTAAAAGGTAGAAACCAACACTAGCCCTGCCATCAGCCAAAAGAGAGAGAAAAAAAAACAAACTCTTATCTCTCTGTCACAGAGTACCACACGCAAAAGAAAACACACACACACAAAGACACACACGGTGATGCAGGCAGCAGGACAACTGAGGTATTGTGGAGAGCCGTCACGTTACCGGCTGTGTGTATAAGTGTATGAGTCACACTCTATTTTTAGATGTGCACATAGGCAGCCGACAACTTATAGCCAGACACAAACATGCTGCTCCGTCCTAGTGGTGATAGTCATGCTAATCTTACCTACTCTCCCTCAGAAATTGCTAAGTCATTCTCTAAGCGCCATGTTTATTTCACTTCACTTTATTTCTATCACTCCCTGCTTATGGCAGAACGGCTGTATGGAAAAATCTAATCTGTAAATATGTATTATGTACTTGACTACAAAGTGCACAATTGATGGTTCTTCCTGAACTGCATTGTTGACTGTGCTTAACTCTGATCCATAACATGAGTCTTGGGAATGATTATGGTGTAAAACCTAGGTGAGGAAGTGAATGTCTTTCATTCATTTTCACTAAAATAAGCTAAAGGAACTGAGCTGTGCCTAACTGATTATTTCAAAGTTGTTAAAAAACACCATGCAGGCTATTCTCAGCCAACATGAGCTGCTGCCATTTCAGCTGCCAAAAATGTTCAGTCTCGTTCTTCCAGAGTCTGAGCCACAAACTGGCACAAAGGAGCCATGATTAGTGTCTCCAGTCAAGTTGAATCTGATATAAAAATCTTAAGTTTAAGATCACAAAAAACTAACAGGTCATAGTGGCATTAATAGCCAAAGTCCTGTTCCTGTCTTCCCTGGGGTGCAGTAAGTTGTGATGGCTTTAAGCTCGACCGCTGGGTGTTGGCTGAGTGAGGTTATTGTGCAACTTCTAAACAGCTCACAAGCAACGCTTACCACTTCAATGTGATCCTGGTTGAACTTGTCTCCGATCTCCCGAAGTTTACGACCAATTTGCACCTCGACGCTCACACCCGGCTGCTCCTCGGCCCCCCCGGCCATCCTGTCATTCTCTTCCTCTCTGTCCTCTTCCTCCTCCTCTTCAATCTGTCTCTCTCCCCGGTCTTCCATGAGCTCATACTGAGCAGGCCACAGTGGGCGCGAGCCAGCGTAAACTAAAAAGAAAACAGCAAGGCTTTTTAAATTTTGACCTATTCTTAAAGTATATAAGAGTTTCATTTCGGTAAAATCACTGATGTTAAGCTTCTGTGTGACATTAGAGGGAAAAAAAACCCTCGTCTGACTGTCTTGTTTACGATTCATGGCCTCAAACACAGTTTCGTCTGTCGTGCTTAGCCAAACATTCAATACAAATGTCTTGCCGTGATGGTGTCTGAAATCCAAACAGGCTTTTGTCACCTCTTGATGTGAATGTTAAAAAAAAAAAAGGTTTAAATCACAAGGTGTGCACTTGAAGGACAAACGAAGAGTACACAAACAAAAAAGCGAGAGAACCTCAGCGAGGGGAAAACGCAAACACCTTATTAAATCAACAAGGTCCTCAGTGGACCGCCTCCTTTTATTGAGCTGTGTCACTGAGTTTACTCGCTGCCTCTGGTATGGGCCGCTGCAGTGGAAAACAGCTTTTTTATGTAATCATGTGCGCAGAATGCCCTGCTATTCTGCCTCACAAAAGAATGTAATAACTAAAAAAGTGAGTCCTCTGAGCTGTGTTTGGAGCGATGGCACAATGCCAAGAGTATGACATCCATTACTGGTTAGATTACAATGCACGACAAGGTAATAACAGGCAGAGGAGTTTATGTATCGATGATTTTAAACCAGAACAACGGGTGGCTCTCACACGCTGACACAGAGTCAACAAACAAACAACACCCGGCTTCAACGTCCGTTCAATTAAATTAGCGTGATGTCGCGCTGATTTAATTAGACACGGGAAAGCACTATTAGATTTAAACTGATGGACATATTAGTGTTGGTATGTACCTTTATGTGTCTATAAAAGTATTGTTTTTTTATTTTATTTTCAAGAGATATTTGTTTCAAATGCCAGAAAAGGGGAAACTGTGGAATGCAATTATGATCTATTACATTTTGATTTGTAACTTATTTTTAGAGCGTAATAAAGTAAAGTGTCATACTACACAAAAAATAAATAGTGAGTGTGCAGCTCATGGTTATGCGTAAAATTTACTTAGATTTACTTAGATTTTTCAAAATGGACTTTAGTTTTCTTCTAATTGTGATATGAAAGACATAGTAGTCTTTTCCTCTGGTTGTATGTGACAGTTGCAAAATCCCATGAACGTGTTTCAATCAGCTGGATGTCTGAGGACAGCAACCTGAAGGGAGGAATGACTAACAGTAAGAGGCTAGATTGCATGTAAATCATTCAGACAGCCCGTGTGCTATCAGCCGGCACCGGTCACAACCCTCCTTACCATGAAACGGTCCATGTGGGAGCCGGTGTAAGCTGCAGGGCAGCGCGTTGATGCTGTTGTTGTTGTGGCCCTGCAACGTCTGCACAGCAGCACTGACGGCAGTAAGGGCCTGTCCGGCTGCCATCTCTCTTCTCTCTTCGTATTTGATGTCCCTAAATGGCGTTCCCCAGAGCTGTGAGATGGGCCGCGACATGTCCTCCTCTTCATCATCCATCCGAAACCTCAGCGGTAAATTCCCTGCAGGGAGGAAGGGGTAAAGGAAATGGAAACTTTAAAATGAGATGACATGTTCATTGATTACATTTGAGACTAAGTGTGACTGTTTGTGATCCTAAAGCTTGCAGGTCATTTGGGTTCGATATGTTTTCAAACCAAACAAAAATGGCAAATTATCCAGTTATCAGTCAAAACTTTCCCTTCTGGCATATGGAATGATCTCATTCTGCCTCTGCTTTTAGTGAAAATGAATCACCAGCCATTGTAATGCACAGTAAGAAGCTTAGACTTCAGGCTTTGACAGTCAAAACAAACAAGCTGGGTGTGGTGTCTGCGTGAGCAAATATGGATCTATACGTTCATACCTGAAGACTGTCTGCGAGACACACGCACACACATAAAAAGTTTTGCTTTCTTTTATGTGCTGATTAGCAGCAGCAGGATCAAATTGTCAGGACAATTCTCTGGGCAGCTAAAAATGCAGATCTGCTACCCCTTCAGAAGCATACTTTTGCCAAGCTGTTCCTGATTATGAGCCAAGCGGTAACATAGTGCCAAAAGATCTACCAAAGAGGCGCATTTCCCATGAAAAAATGACCTTAAACAGTGTGAACAGTGAGCCCTGCAGAGCACAGTGAGGAGACTTGCTTCCACATTAACAATGTCACCACTCCACCTGATTATCTCCACTTGTTGTTTCCTTTCTCTGAACAACAAAGTCACTGGATAACTGTGCGTCTATCATATTTGTCCGCACACACAGCAGAGTGGGTAGAGTGCAAGTCAGATCGCTGCTATGACGAGACCGTCACAGCCTGCAACCGTCTCATGAGAGAGACAACGCATTTCACTCCATCCTCAACTGTGCCTGCCGGACACAAATGCACAGGCTTTCTTCCTCACTGGCCGCATCCCAAAATCGCAACTGCTGTTATGTCATCCTGTCAAAGGAGCCTGTCTTTTCCCCCTTTGTTCTGTGAGCCGACACAAACAGGCAGTGATAGCAAATGCAAAAGTTGAAACTTGATACTCTGCTATTATGTTGACTGAGCAAGGCAGCCCCAGTCGTATATCTCTTTGTGAATGTGTCTCTTTGCATGATGTCATATCATCTCGTGTCAAAGGAGGAGAATGTATCTTGAAAAGCTGTGGATAAACACAAGGACTGAGACAAGTGTTACTTACTTAAATTGTCTCCTTGAATCACTGCAGTTGTTACTAAACAAATACATAATTTGGCTGTCAATCCTCCAAGGACACAAATTAGGTTATTTCACCAGGCATTTTCTTTAAATTTAAGATATTCACAAACATTTTTAAAACTTTGCCATCTGAGAAATACATAATGGTTATAAATATTATCCAAGCAGTTGTAGTATTTCTCTAACTTTGCAGCGAGTTTCACTTATTTCAACTGTGCACCTATTCTGCATGTCAGTGGAAATGCAAGTCCTGTCTCGAATTCCCACTGGCAGTCATCAGAGGACTGGCACAACAACCAATAGTGTCAGACTCATAAGAAGACGAAAAAAACAAACATAGACAGGGAGATACACAGACAGAGACTGTACACACACAGACACACATTGCCCGGGGCTGCTGGGAGGCCTGGCAGCCGCTACTGTGATGGTCAGAGGCTCAAAGCCCCAGCAGAAAGTGGCTCCCTCTGCTGCACCATCTGTGCACGGGCTCCTTTCCACGAGAAGCTGGGCTGTGGCTCAGCTGCTATTACACCTACTGCTGTTAAAGAACTACAGTACCCAGGCATACAGTAGGCTGTGCGTGCAAGGCACATGCTTCAAAACACCACCTCCCCACCTTTTCTATAACTGATGAAAAACGATAAAACAACAACAATAATATACTATTTTTCATTTGCACGGCGAATTCCCTTTTATGCCGTCATGTCATATAAATCAAACGGGAGCAAAAAGGCTTCACATTTAATAATGTTTTATTTCAAATTGTTTTGACCATTTCTTTTGTGGTCGAGTAATCCGCCGCGCCAGCAGAGCAGCGTCCCGGACGGCTCAGCTCCTCAAGTCGGGCAGCCGAGGAGCGCCGAACGTCAACCCAACATCCCCGGCAAACCGTCAGTCGTAACATCTCCTGACCGCGGAACCAGGGGGGGAAATATGCTCGCACGCGACAGAAAACAAACACCAGCCGCAGCGCAAGGAAAAGTTTTCACCCATTCGTTGTTGCCACCTTCTCTCTCTGTCTCTCTCTCTCTCTCTCTACTGGAAATGTAGCCAACACTCAAGGCTGGATTAAAACTACATTTTTCAAATTTTGTCAGCAAATACAAAAAGGCGCAGTTTTTATATCACTCTGGGAGATTGTTGCACCAGGACTATTTAACGTCCATTAACCCACCTTGAATCATTCCCCCCCCCATATTGCCGAATAAATCCTTCCTCGATATATATACGCTGGTAACTCCACTCGGTTGTTGCTGCTCATAGAAACTGGGGTGAACTGCACACGAGACGTGTTTTCACACTGCCTTTGGTTTGCATGATGTTAAACGAATTACCTGCAGCAATGTGAACTGGCAAAAGTTGCCAACCAGCGACGGTGGGTCAGAAAGCGAGCAGCACCAGCCGGGACAACCAGAGCCCGGGCTCGAGGGGTGAGTCTCCACAGTGACCCCGTCCACTTCCTCACAACTCTGGCTGATTCAGGGAGCAGGACACACGTCTACATCTCCGAACCCCTTCCTGTTTCATGCCAGCCAGAGCCCCGCTCACCACGTCTCTGCCCGGGCATGCCCAAGCTGCCCGCTGCTTGTGTTGATAAACTCTCCCAAACAAGAACCACGCGACGTAAGCGCGCGAGCTCGCCTCTCACGTTTTAAGAAGTAGAAGAAGAAGAAGAAGAAGAAGAAGCCGTTGGACTCACCGCCACAGTATGTGTTTTCCGTGGTAATCGGTGGTATCTTGACAATTTGTTGTTTTCTGCCGACTGTGTTGCTGGGACTCGTATCCCTCTTTGCATTACAACCGCTCATAGACGTTTGCTGACTGGAGAGGGGTTGTTTTTTTTCTGTCAAAATGATCCGCCCTTCTTGGCTCAGACCCGCCCCTTCGCCCGTAATGTGAAAGGAACAGAGTCAGCCACACTGTTGTTATGCAAATACACCCCATTGGACGGTCATCAAATCCAGTTATTGCTGCATTTTGGATTAAATTCATATTCGATTTTGTTTACCCCATCGTGTACTTGTCAGGAAGGAAGTATTCTGTAAAAATATAAAATAAAAAAACTCAAGTGGAAGTTGAAATCGATGTAAATATTCCCCAAGAACTAAGCCAATTGCTTTTGAAAAATCTTGACAAGTATTAGTCAATTCAGAAAAAGAGTCCCTGCAAGTTGCAGATGAACCTATTGTACTCTATGAATGCCTCCGTAATTAGATTTGGGAGAGGTAATGTTTTTCTGTGATAGACAATCTATCTATCAATGATATCTTCAGTATTATATAAAGACATGGGTGTTTAAATCTATGTCAAGTAAGAAACTATTTGTATGTGTATGCACTGCTGCATTTATGGAGCCTGTCTAGTTATTAAGGATGCAAACTGAGTACTTGTTTCCACGGTGAATATGCAGGCCTTCAAAAGTGCATGCGTGAAATATGCATTCGAAATGTTTAATATAAATGTAATCTATCTCTTTATGTTTTGGTGAGCTGATGCCGTATTGTTGTTCAGTTAAAAAAATAATGTGTCTGCCCCTTTAAGAGAACAGCCCAGCTTGCCGAGAATAACCTGGTGACACGAAGTCAACCAATCAGACGGTTTGTTGTGGTCCCGCCTTCCATTTCGTGTATCTTGACACGTGGAAGGGGAAAAAACACAAACCCAGATAAGACATGTGACTGCTTTCAGCCCCCAGCTCAGCTGATTGGGAGCCGCTGCTCGTTAGAGCGGCTGCACCCACCCAATTGCGGGGTTGGATATGATGATGTGTAGCCTCCTGTCACTGCAACAAATAGATTCACACAAGTGATTGTGTCACACACTGATGCCAAAATATATCAGTCCATGCATCTTTAAAATCTCAATTGCTGTGCCACTGCCTCTGAGATGTTTATTTATCGACATGTTCAAAAGAGCCAAGACAAAAGAATATGCCATTGAAATCGTTATGTTCAAGCTGGATCTGAAAGGGATCAGTCCAAATTTTCCATTTAAATTTTTTTTTCCAATCAATCCAAATTTCTTTGAAAAAGCACAGGTCAGATGACAAATTTTGTCTTCAGCAATTATGCATTTTAGTTGACGGAATCATAAAATAGGACGGCACAGTGGCACCGTCGCCTCCCAGCAAGAGGGTTGTGGGTTCAAGTCCCAGGGGACCCAGGACCTTTCTGGGTGGAGTTTGCATGTTCTCCCTGTGTCTGCGTGGGTTCTCTCCGGGTTCTCCGGCTTCCTCCCACACTCCAAAAACCTGCATGTTAGGTTGATTGGACATTCCAAATTGTCCTTAGGAGTGAATGTGAGTGTGAGTGGTTGTTTGTCCTTGTGTGTCTTGTGTGTGGCCCTGTGATGGACCAGCGGACTGTCCAGGGTGTACCCTGCCTCTCGCCCGTTGACCACTGGGATAGGCTCCAGTTCCGCCCGCGACCCCATCAGGGAAATAAGCGGTATTGATAATGGATGGATGGATGGATGGAATCATAAAATAGTTACAACTCATGTATGACTGAGTGTGGAGTGAAGAGGATAATAAACAGGTTTGTCGTTGCCCATCACTCCTCAGTCTAGTGAGGCCAGTTTGTGCCATCAGGGCTGGAACCCAGCCTTCACAAATATGGCATGAAAACTAAGATGGCCCTGTCTGGACCAATAAAATGAACAGAAAGATTTCCAATCTTTTTCTCTTTTCATAGGATTTTTCATGATATCCTCTTCCCATGCTGAGGACCAACAGTTGCTTCCCTCTTGACCTTTGGCCTCATCGCTGAGTGACATAAAGCAGATTGCTGTGCAAATGGGAATGTCTACTCTAGGGCTGCAACGATTCGTCGACGTTGTCGACAAAAATCGATAATAGAAAAAGTCGACAATGAATTCCATTGTCGACTATTGTCGCCAGACGTGTTTTTCCAACAGAGTGAGACACTTAATTACAATCTGCCCAGAGTCACCTGCACAACAGCGTCGCGGTTACAGAAATGGCGGCGTCCAACACGCGTACAAAAACTTCCAAAGTTTGGGAGCATTTTATCCTTGATACAACGAGTAAAAAAATTACGTGCAAGGTTTGCAAAACAGACCTTGCGTATCACGGCAGCACCTCGGTGATGCATGAGCATTTAAAAAGAAAGCATGTTGGGCACTTAAATGAAACGGAGTCTGACTCGCCTCGGTAAGATTTAAGCAACAATAATGCTAATATGTTTTGTCTTTTATGTACGTTATACATTTTCTAAGCGTTTTTTCACTTTAAAAGAGAGCTTTAACGTTATGCCTGACTGTGCCTGACAAACGCATTCTTATTTACGTTTTGTATCAGCTGCAAAGTAGAATAAAATACGCATTTTTCATTGAAGTACCCATTTTTCTTTTGTTTATCATTTTCCACTTAACTAAAGCAACTTTATGCTATTTTTAAGAAAAAGTGAATAACTATTCGATTAGTCGACTAATCGTTTCAATAGTCGGTGACTAGTCGACTATTAAAATAGTTGTTAGTTGCAGCCCTAGTCTACTCTCAATCGTACGTGAAAGCAAGTAGTGCTGTAAAATATCAGATGATTAAACTTCCACTGAGTGCTCAGTGAGCACAAGTGGGTTCCTTTGGGCTTGAATGTGACAAATTGAATTACAAAGCCTCACGCTTTAAAACAGATAATAAAAAGGAACTCCTTATCCATTTTTGCAGATTCCACAATATACTTAAAATTAATAATAACCCCTTGTGCATACTATATCTTTACATGTTAAAATGATGACCAATTAAAAAAAAACAAAAAAAAACAATTAATTAATTAATGAAACACTCTACACAGAGCTATTACCAAACATAATATAACATCAAATGAAATAACATAACATAATATGAGACAACAGGTTTCACATGTCCTTAAATGCATCTTTCCCTGACAACAATGTAGAGCCATTTTCAGCTCAGTCCCTGGGGGCACTCATAGTGTCCTCTTCTGATGGATGCACTGTGACACTGGCATAAACAACAGCCCTTGCTGTTGACCCTCATTCTAGACCAGAGGCACGCCTACGCATGGCATCACTCAAAATAGGAAGAAAAGAAAGTGCTGTGACATCAAACCTGCTCTGTGAAAAGGGGTTACTGAGTGCAAAATAGCAATGCATAACAAGGAGAGTTGAGACCATTTGATCCATCGTGTGAGTCAGATTTTCCCCAAGAGACAAGTTCTGGATGAAAGCAGATGCCATTGCCTTTGCATGGAGTTCTGGTCAGCATGAGCAGGATGTTTTCACACTGTCTCACTCTTTGTTGTGCAGCTGGTAACGTGTGAAGTGTGATTTTCTCAACTTTTCACAAAATTCCCATGCTCAGTTAACTGGCAGACTCACAAAGACCCACTGCTCAGCCTTGTTTGTGCTGCTGCATGACAGCACCCAACCCCCCATCAATAAGAGCCCCCTTCCCTCCAACTCTGCAGTCAAAGGGACCCCACCCAAAATTGGGAAGAACAAATCAGTGGCAGTTGTTTTTGCATAGTCTCTGTTTCACCCTCAGCATTTTAGTTAATGTTTTCGTCTCTTTAATTCAGTGAACTCCATCAGTTCTCAGTAAATGGACATATTGTCGATACATACTTAGCTATTGCTGCTTTCAAGTTGCATTGTTATTCTGGAATCACTCGAGTATTTAAAAAGTAATTTAGATCAACTCCAGGTTTAAGATAAACAAATATTTCTAAAAATGATTTGTGTGATTAAAATGAAACATTGTCATTATATATAAGAGTAGAAACATTCTTATAGTTTCTCTTGAATGATAAAAAGAAAAGTAAGCCTTCAAATTGCATTTTTTTTAACATCATATTTCACAGTATATATCAGTAAAAACCTGGAAAAATCAGATCTATAAAGGATGAGCAGAGTGGATTTTTTTCCTCCCCCATGTCGTCACTATCAATAACTAATTAGTGTTCTCAAACAATAGCTCCCAGAGTTAACAATTTCAGTCACATTCAGTTATCTCTTTACAGTTTTTCCTAGGTTCAGCTGGTTTGGTGGTGTCAGAGCTGTTATCCACGTTTGTGCTGCAAATTAGATTTTTTCTTCTGTTTTGGCAGATAACATAATATGATGCGCTGTCAATGCAAGGGGACTCAGAAACACAAGCGTCATGAGTTGTGCAATCTCCTCCACTGTTTTAAGAAATTTGTTGTCTCTTACTTTCAAGAGCACTTTCAGCCCCTTTGAACAGGGAAAACAGCCTTTGTGTCGGAGCTGAATTCAGAACTTGTCATCTAAACTGAAACTTCCTGTGCCTCTGATGTGTCAGTTCCAGTAGCAGACAGCGTGTCCCAGCCCATTTTTCTTGGAGCGTTTTATGCCAGCGAGACAGTCAAAACTCTCCTAAGTGAGTTATTTCTGACTATGTGCTGCCAGCAAAGGTGATAAGCCTCTGGATGCTGAACATTTTCAAAGTTTACTGTGTAATGATACAATTTGTTTCATGGCTTTTCCTTAATGAATCCTGACAACCAGACGCTTTGTCTACTGTCTTTATTCCTCTCCACACCCAAACAACTCCGTCATTGTGTTTGTACACAATGCACTCTAACAGTCAAATGTTGTATTTTCCAAACCATGTTCCATTTAATTACTGGCCTCTCTTTCAAGATACTGTTTTGCACATAAATTGATGGTGAAATCATGTGACAGAGATGGCAAGTTTTCACAGGTTATTGGAAAGCTCAGTTCCCTTCCATCTCCCCCTTCTTTTGCTCCTCCTGTCAACACCTCTTGATTTTAGCCACAGGTACAGCAGGGGCTCCATGAAAGAATTCAGCTTTCCAAGGGTTCATCCAA